TGAACAACATCACCTCCTCATCAGGCTCTTCAGGTGGTGGTGGTTGGCTTGGTGACAATAATCTAAACAAGGACAGATTAGACCTTTTCTATTGGTTGTTGGCAGGCCTTAGCTTCCTCAACTTCCTCAACTATCTGTTTTGGTCTAATTGGTACTCTCATAACCCATCTTCATCAACATCAAGTGCGCCCGGGAATGAGACTCCCATGGAGGATTATAACCATTATAGATTGGATGATAATAATATACCATAAAGTTATAATAAATAATCTATATATGTAACGTTACACTTCATTTTATCTAGGGGGTAGGTCATCTTGTAATTTAATAATATATATATATATATATGTAACTATGAATGAAGGCAATAAAAAATAGGGCTCGAATGAGGCTCTCATATGTGCCGGCCTTTTTCTAATATGCGTATATACAGAAACATGCCATGCATAAAGGCAACCCCTATAGTTTTGGAAACTGGAGTTATGTATAGCGCTTCAGTTGAGGAATTCATCAAATAAATATATACGTTAATTTATTTTCTTATTGAAGGAAAAGCACATATATATATATACAACTTTCTTAAAAAAGAAACTAAATTTGAAGATGTATTGGAAAGCGCATAGAATTTCTCTGTAAAAAGAAACTAAATTATAAGATGGTCCGGGGAGGATGAACTTTAGAGGACTAGCTTGCAAGTCCTTAATTTGATCAGTTGGTCCAAACATGTACGGGAATTTGTCTTTAACAAGATTCAATTAATATACATTTTGTTTGCAAGGAAGGAATTTGATGATGAGTTGATAACAAAAGAAGGATCATCGTGCCTTATCCTTTGATTCTTTGAATGTCATAAAGGGAATACGCAAGTGGTGGGCTAGTGATGATATGTTACTTGAAATTAAGAGGGAGGGAGGGAGGGAGGGAGGAGGGAGGAGGAAGGGAGGAAGGGAGGAAGGGAGGATCCTTCAGAGAAAATCTAACTACCATGATGTGACGCATGCAACATATGGGACATCATGATGAATAAGCCTAAAAAGAAAAAAGTCAGAAAGAAAAAAGTAAGAGAGAGAGAGATGTAATCAATTAAAAAGTAAACTAACAGAGAAGTTTGTTCCCATTTTGATGTTGTTAGTCAACCATTATAACTTTCTACAAAGGGACATGTCCCAAACATGTTTTGATGTTGGTGCGCTATTTATATGTATGTAAATGTAATTTAGGGGGGCCCCTTGCTATATCCTTGTAAATTGTAATTGAAGAGACCATTCGGAAATCCTACATATTCATATGTTGGCCAAAACATTAGCATGTCGGCAACCGCAATCCCAACCAGAAAAGAAACAAGACGACGACTTATTCATAATTTCATGGAAGGAAGAAAACTCATTCGCTCGTGGATATCTGCATATCTCATATATATCATATACTTACACCACTAACTACATTATATATCCATCATTACTCATCACTCCACTTTCACTGTGTTCTCTTTAAAGACCAGACATTATAAGCGAGGATAATGGGGTGCAGGTGCAGCAGCCACACAAACCTTTTTCGTTATATTCTTCTCATTATTATTTTTTAGTAACTCTGTTACACCCAAGAATTGTTTCTGGATACTTACCAATATTCTTTGGAAACCCCTAACCAGCAGGGCGCAAGAGTCTTTGTTCATCAAGGACATTGTTGTAAGAACTTTCATGCTTTTCTAACCCTAATACTAACCTTGATCTGACATGGTTATAAAAGATCTTCTTCTCCTCATGCAGCTCTCTCTAACTCTTTCTCTAGATGGGGTGAGATTTATGTATGAGTGTATGTTATAACTAAGAGGAAAGGGACTTCTATTTATATGCAATCAACCCTAGTGTCTTACCCATCAAGAAACACTCAAGTAGTCTGATTTACATTATGTTAGACTAAGTTAAATTCAATCCATATGAAATAGGGAAGTATCACAATCCTTGCTTAACTTGTATGGATTGAAACAATGGCCCTGTGCATGGTTTGGACGGCTCACCATGCCAATGAAGAAGAATGGTTTCAAGCAGAGTAACTCAGATAACCACTTTAATAATATATGTTGATAACATGATTATTACTGGGTATGACGAACATGAAATATATCTTAGCTGCAAGACTATTTGGCCACTGAGTTTGAGATGAAGAACCTAGGTGGACTCAAGTATTTCTTGGGTATTGAGGTGGCCCAATCAAAGCAAGACATGTCTCTCTCTCAAAGGAAATATGCATTGGACTCATTGACAAAAACATAAATGCTAGATTACAAACTTATGGACGCTCCAATCATTCAGAATCATCATTTTGGAGAATACTCTTATCAAGTTCTGACTAACAAAGAAAGATACCAAAGGTTAGTGGGAAGATTGATCTATTTGTCACATACTCGACCCGACATTGCTTATGCGGTGAGCATTGTTAGTCAATTTATGCATTCCACTAATGAAGATAAGATGAATGCAGTTCTTCGAATACTTAAATATTTGAAGTCAACACTAGGGAATGGACTTATGTTATCAAAACATGGTCATTCAAATATTGATGGCTATACAGATGCAGTTGGGCAGGAAGTGTGACAGATAGGAGATCCACATCCGATTACTTCACATTCATGGAAGGTAATTTGGCTACATAGAGGAGCAAGAAACATAAGTGGGTAGCCCTATCCAGTGTCGAAGTTGAGTTTAGAGGTATGACTAAAGGAATTTGTGAACTTGTTTGGTTAAAGAAGTTGCTTACTCAACTTGGGTATGGACCTACATCAATGATGAATCATTTTTGTGATAATAAGGCAAACATAACTATTGCACATGATCATGTTCAACATGATCACACCAAACATGTTGAGGTGAATCAATATTTCATCACACAGAAGCTCGAGGCTAGAGAGATTCAATTTCCTTTTATGAAATCCGAAGATCAGTTAGTAGGTATCTTGACAAAGGCAGTTGCCAGTAGAGCGTTCCACAATTCACTAGACAAGTTGGGAATCGGCGACATCTATGCACCAACTTGAGGGGGAGTGCTAGCGTGACTTATGGACTAATTAACTTTCCTTGCACACAAAGGATTCCCGTCCTATTCTAAATAGAAATATGAATTTATTATTTTACTTGGCCATTAAGACTCCGTTGTATTATAAAATATGACCTCTTACAATGAGAGGAATACACAGAACATTCTCACAAACAATATTCTCTCATATTTTAGCTGTAAAGAGAAGAGGTATTAAGTTTGTGTCCTACAATTTTTGTCCAAATGAACAATAAGTTCATTGCTCGTAAGGCTTCATATACTTTTACTTATATATTACAAAATTGTCTTATGCATCGGCAAAATTTTACATATAAGAGCATCTTCAAGGGAGATGTCAAATACCAAACATCAAATTTAAATTTTATGGTTGATGTGGCAATTCGACATATTGTAAAACTCTTTATCCAACCAAGATGTCAAATATACATTTTATTTTATTATTTTTAAAGGCAGGTGGGCTCGGTATTTAAGAGTAAAATATTAAATAGGATTAAGAACTGTACATAGAAGAGGAGAGAAGGAAGTGGGCTCAGCATTAAAATAATAATAAAAAACAAAGAGACGTCTCAACATGTTGGTGTCAATTTTGACAACAAAAGTGAAGGACGTCAATCCAACTAGAATTTGGCATCACAGTTGGAAGGCTTAAAATGTCTTTTTCTAGGGTTAAAACTTGCCATGTTGGAATTGGCATTTCGGTTGGAGATGCTCTAAGATAGTTGTTCGTCAAAGCTTTTATTCTAAATTTCATTATTTCAATTTAAAATAGACTATCCAATTTGGTCGTTTTCAAATCAAGATTCTTGCAAAGTAATTTTTACCACTACTAACTCTCCTTAATGACAGACAAAATTCATAATTTTTCTTTCTCGAGGATAGGACTTGAAGACATGAGTTTAGCATATAAGCCAATCTCATATCTATTCAATACTTAGAGCATCTCCAACCGATACGTCAAATTGCCACATGGACATGAAATGGAAAAAATTGAAGGTTAAAGTTGCTTCAACTGAGTAGTCAAATCATACGTGAATTTAAAGGTTAATGTCAAATACTATTTTAATATTTTTTTAGTCATGGACCCCACTATCATTTACTCTCTTTTAAAACTTTATACATCATATGGGCCTTATTTGCTAAATATAATAAATTAATATAATATTTGGCATTTTGGGTGGAGTTAAAGTTTTTCCAAATTGTCAAATTGCCACATAAGTTATCAAATTCAAATTTAACATTTTGCATTTGACATCTCCCTTGGAGATGCTCTTAAAAGCCGACTTGCCATAATCATCCACTTGCCTTCCCAAGGATAGGACTTGAATGAAATGAATTGAGTTTTTTCCTTTACTTTGTTTCCTTTTCTGTGTTTTCCTTCCTTTTTCAATTTCAAGAGAAAAACTCTCATGTAACGCTGATAACACTTTTTATTACTCCCAACCAATAACATTTCCACGTGTGAATTTCTGAGGTAGAAGATCACCACGGCCCATTGACTATGTTGCTGTATCCATACAGTGAAATCATCAACTGCACGCATAAAAACTAAATTAAAAAATCTCTCCCTTTCTTTTTTTTTGAGAGAAGGGTTTACTTCAAGTACACAGTGAGTGTTTAAACCTAAACAAGCCAATTATATCATAATTTCTATAATGGTAAGAAAAACCCTAGTTAGAATTCAACTAAACCCTAATCGTAAATAAATGTTTTTTAAAAGTACGTAACCATTAATAAGATTAAATTAATAGGCTTCGTAGGCCTATATATGAACTCTATTAATGAAGCAAAGCAAACGTCCACCGCATTCAGTACAGTGAGACTTGATAGTCTGTAGACAGTGGCTTGGAAGCTAGAGAAAGAGAAGACAAGTTGTCATGTCTTATTTGTATGGGGGACTTTTTTTGACTGATCGTGATGATCAACTAGTTACTCGCTTGCCCTGCTTACACCTCTGTCATAGAGGCTGCATTCTTCAGTGGTTGCATTGGCCTGAGTTGCTCATGATGTCTGCAGGTGTCATAGTAAGTACTTTGCTGGGATTTGATTGGGCTATTTCAATTAAAATTGGACAAGAAGACTGAAGTACAGCGTGCTCATTCAACCTTAATTGGCCAAATTTCAAAACTTTTAGCCTTTTGCCTTTCCGTGACCTATTCCGCTTCTTACGACTCCTCAAAGTAGTATCTCCATCCTTTCCTGCATGGAACTTCAGAGTCTCAAATGACACACAAAGCAAGAAAAAGCGATCATGTCTTATCTCTTATCCAAAAGATCAGAAAATGTTTCTATCCATGCTCAAATTTAAATTGAATTTCCAGGTGATTCCACATTGTAGTTTAGAGCTTCGTAAACTAATGTGAGAGATCAATCAGTTTCATCATGGGCCACATGTACTAATAATTAAAGGCATGCAATTTTTTTACGGAATAGTGAGACTTCGAATTATTGTCTCCTCTATTATGACTAGCCAGTAGTAACAATATTTGCAAGCTCACCTTGTACTGAAGATCTGGGTTTTTCTGAGTCTTTTTCTTCTTACACGAAAAGGGGTTTGGACCCTGCAAGGTGGAAGAGAAAGGGTGGTAAAGTCATAAACATTGAAACAAGCATCTTAAGGAACCATTTTTTAACAGTATTAGCATGCCACCACAACGTGTTAATCTATATTAGCCCAATCAAATCCAATTTAATTTCACCAAAAATTTGGAAAATAGAACATACGTCAAAACACCGAACATCAGCTCAATGATATAATCTACATAGTAAGCCCTAACTTTTAAGTCTAGAATAGGAAAAAGACTATGTTGCCATTTCAAAGTGATCATTACAAATATTGAATAATAGGTGAGACAACGTTCAAGAAGCAACAAATCACTCATTTGTTACTTGAAATTTAATTTATATCAATCACAGAAAAATTCATTCCATATATGGAATACAATATGCACTTAAGGCAAAGGATTAATATATTATTAATAATAAAAAATCTATGTAACAAATATCCTAAAACCAGAATTTAAAGACAATAACAAATTAACCATAGGAAAACTACAAACAGTTGTTCCATTACCCGAAAACCAAAGTTGCCCACAGCTGCTAGTTTCATCCATTCATGGGTATCTAACATTCCCTCTAAGTTTGCAGCATTTGAAATGGTGGAACCCAGCTACCAATGTTTTGGCCTTTCTGTGTCAGTGCATCTATTATTTTTTTCAAATACTTCATTTTCTAAACTTTTAAAGTTTCCACTTCAAATTGCAAACGTCTTCAACCAAGATGATGCTTATTTTCTTTCAATGGGAAGAAACTTGAAGCTTCAAGTGAGGGTGTTTTCACTTCAGAAAATCTGAACAACCTATCTCCAGCCTACATTCAATGATCAGAACCGTCCATTTTTAAGCTTCACATTAAGCATCATCCATAAAAATCAACCAAAAAATAATTATTTAGCCATTTGATCAGCAACCATATCATTTTCATCTGAAAAACAGTGTTTGTCTGTACAGCTAATATGACCAAACAGTTTCTGATCTGGCTTTGTGTGTGTGTGTGGTGTGTGTGTGTTTTGGCGAGAATGACCCCTTAAAATGGATATAAAATGTAGAAAGTTGCAATCATCAAACTGCATTGTGAGGTAGGCCTAGGGAGGATGCTTACGTTCTATTTTAAAAGCGAACATCCTCACTTGAGAATTCACAAGGGAAAAAACATTGCTACGATTCAACTTAGCAGGAAGGCAAAAGATGCATGGTCAAGAAATTGGCCAGAAAGCAGCGGCCAAAAGGTGGTCCACTGCCCACATCAACGAAGGCCAGAGTGATGCACAAGCACAAATACTTTTATAATCCACTACAAACAAACACAAAATCTTAATCCTGATACTGCGATGGTGGCAGAGTTCAATGAGGGGTAATGGATGATAAAATATCCATGTACAATATGGTTCATACATAGTATACAATAAAAAATAGCAAAATAGGCACTTGCCCATTTGTGCAACACAATACACTACGCTTTTGGTCATTACCATGGACTTGGGTCTCTCTCTCTCTCTCTCTCTCTAACACACAACAATAGTTCTCATTCCAAACCAGTAATCATGAATAACTTTTGGAACACGAATTTCTGACTGATATATGCATATCAAAATTCAGAAGCAAGATTCATACAATTACCTTGTTATGAACATGACAAGGAGAGAAAATGATGACTTACTGAATTAAAAGCGTAATGATTCAAGGTATCTGAGAATCGTACCTCTTCTCTATTCCCCCAGCCATCATAAGTAACAAAATACCCATTTGGAATGAGAGACTCGATTATAGCACCATACCTGAACATTCAACTAATCAAGCAGAGACAAATAGAAAAGAAGAGGTAAAGAAAATGTAGAAACTTGTGACCATAAGTTCAAGGCATTTCTTAGTAGTGCAAGCAAATTCATAAAAAAATGCAAATAAGCCTCCTTACTGGTGGTCAGAACTCCAAAACTGAATGACAGAGTACAAGGCCATGGGCTAAATAAAGGCCATTCCTTCACTCCCAACAAATTTGTTCACTGAGAATGCATCAACTAACAGCTTCAGACATCTGATGTGTTCCAGGGAAGTCCTTGAATATTTGAAGACTAACAAACGCATCCTTTGATGAGAAATAACAAGAGATGAGGATCACCTAATATGCATCTAATTTTTAAGTTTGAATATCTTTCCTCAACCCACATTTAATGTCTTGAATCAAACTGGAGTATGTGATTAACAAGGTTATGTTGCACTCCCACCTTGATCATTTGACTCAAAAGCTTCACAGATTCTTCCATATTTCCTTGCTTATAAAGACCATTGATCAATGTAGAGTAAGTGATAATAGAGAGGGAAATCCCTTTTTGAACCATCTTGTCTTTAAATTTAAAGGCTTCAACAGTATTGCCAATTCTGCAGTATCCATTAATCAATATATTATAGGTAACAGCATTAGGAGCTAACCCCTTTCGGTAAAGTTTACGGAAAAGCCTCTGTGCTCGATCCAAATTTCCTGATTTGGACAAGCCATTTATAAGAGCATTGTATGTGGTAATGTTAGGAACAAGATCCCTTTTCAGCATTTCATCTCGTAGGTTGAAAGCCTCGTTCACATTACCAGCAGCAGCAGTGGCATGAATTAGGGTGCAATATGTAAAATTGTCAGGAGAAAAGCCACTAATCAACAACTCCGATAAAAATTTCCTTGCATCGGCAACTTTCCCTGATCTGCAGAGTCCGAAGATAGCAATATTGTATACAACATGGTTGGGCAGAGAGAAGCTTTTAGCACTTTCATCAAGAGAATCTGAAAATTTCTGAATTTCTTGATGTCTACTGCCAACTTTGCAAAGCTTCGAAGAAGATAGACAATCTGAAAAAAGATCAAAATCCACTAGCTTCTTCAATAGAATATTTGCTTCATCAATCCTGCCAAGCCTATACAGAGTACTGACAACTTTGCTGCAAATAATTAAATTGGTGATAAACCCTTTGTCTATCATCTCACAATATGAACTAAAGGCTTTATCCAGCATCCCTTCATTGCACCAACCAGTTATAAGGGATCCATATGTAACAATATTAGGGGATAGTCCCCTTGTCTGCATCTCAGCAAGAAGATCCATCACTTTACTTAATTTCCTGGACATAAAGGCACCATTGATGAGAGAATTGTACATTTCAATGGAAGGACCTATCGCTTGCCTTTCCATCAAACTTTTAACTTTCAAAGCTTCTTCAACATTCCCAACCTTACAATAACCATTACTCAGGGTTCTATAAGTCATCTCATCAGGCAAACATCCTAGCTCCTTCATCTTATCGAAAATCTCCTCCGCTTCCACCAATTTACCCATCTTGCATAACCCATTAATCATTGTATTGAAAGCAACCCTGCTTTTGGTAAAACCTTTTGCTAAAATTTCTTTAAATACAGTCATAGCCCCGTTGAGATCGTCCTTCTTGACAAACCCATCAAGCATAGAACAATAGCTAACCTCGTTAGGAGCCAACCCTCTTTTCAACATCAGATGCCAAAGATGCAAAGCATCATCAAAAGCACCCGCTTGACATAAACCCTTGAGAAGCATATTGTAAGTTACAACAGTGTGATTGATTCCTTCCTGAAGCATATCGTGGAAAAGCTTCAGTGCCTCACTTGTCTGACCTTTCCGACAGTACCCATCCATCAGGGTATTATAACTATAAGAATCGGGCTTTAAGTTCCAATATCTCATCCGCAACAACACTCCCTCCGCTTCACGAACTTGACCACCCTTACAGTACCCATTGATCAAGGAGTTGCAAATGAAAATATTCATGTTTAAGCCTGTGCTCAACATCTCATCCTGAATCCTAATAGCATCATCCATTCTGCAAGCTTTACAATACCCATCTAACAACACACCATAAGCACGCTCATCCACAACCCCAGACTCCTCCACCTTCATACCCCGAAGCACCTTCTCCGCTTCCTCCATCTTACACTGCTTGCAGTAACCCTTAATCAATAGTGTATAACTCACCACATTTCTCATAATTCCCCTTTCAGACATCAACCCCAACACCAATTGGGCGCCTTTAACATCTCCCAAACTAACATACCCATCAATCAAACTATTGTAAGTCACTACGTTTAATTCACAACCCGAACTTTCCATTTCTTTGACGAATTCCAGCGCTCTACTCAGCCTCCCCTCCTTACAATACGCGGTTACCATTATTGAACAGGTATAGACATCAGGAACCATCCCGAACCTAATTATCTGCTCATAAACAAGCAATGCAGTGTGACTTTGGCCGTTTCTGACCAAATTACTCAACAAAGAATTACAAGACCTTAAACTCGGAGATCGACCGCACTTACCCATATTGTCAAACACATGCAGTGCATACTTGGTCATGCCCTTCTCAGCAAACACCTTGAGAATCATATCGAAAACAGTGGGTGAAAACGTAAATTCCCTATAAACCCTAACAAGCTCATCCCAGACCACAGAGGCTGAATAATTATTGTTGCAGAGGCCGACCAATTCGTTCAAATACGCTCTGGTTTGATCGTACATTCGAGCTCTAGACAATATATGAACAATTATACAATAAGACTTGAGGTTGGGCCTATATTTTTGCTGCTTTGAAGCCAATTTGAAAAAGCTTAAGCAGGCTACTGGGTTTAGCTTCAGTTTTCGGAGGATGGTGTTGAGGAGTTGGTCGGAGAACTCAAAGGACAGCTTCAGCTTGTCAAGAGCATCATACCGTTGGAGGACGAGGAGATTGGAAATCCGGTCTTGTAATTCGGGCCGGGTCAGCTTGTACTCATCCCGGAGCTTCCAGTTGAGGGTTCGGGACACATGGAGGGACCTGCGCGGGAAGTACCTGAGCATTTGGTTCGACGGAGAGACAGAGCTTTTGCCGCCACAGAACAGTCCAACCAATGGCTGAACCAGGATTAAAGCTTTGTCGATCCAGCGTAGTCCTCTTTAACATACCATTCATTACATTTCATATCTGGGTATTCAATCAAAAGAAAACCTTTGATTGAATCAATGGAATGAAGTTCAATTGCCTTCAAGGAATGTTGGGATCAGAGTTGGCCTGGGCGGTCACTATATATGATTTTGCAATAATATATACAAAATTTTAAAGTTACTGTATATATATACCTAGGAAAAAAGGCTTAATCGCGATGCTATGGGGAGAAGGGCTATGAATATATTTTTCACATCTTAATTTAGTAGTTAAATTAATTACAAATTTATAAATAAACCCAATCCTAGACATGTATTTATAAAAAAACCCAAGCACTATTTAAACATAGAAACACACCCAAAATCAACTCCAAAATCAACATTGTATATTTTTTGGGTGTGTTTATAAATGGATTTTGAGTGTGTGTAATGATGGGTTTTGGGTGTTATGTTTTTTTAAAATTTCAGCCTCCATTTTGGGTGTTTTAGTGAAACTCTCTAAATTAATTAGGTCTAATTCAATAAAAAATGGGCTAAATTCAAGGACTAGCGGTCTTAGATTCGAACCCTAATAACACTGTATATGTGAAAAATCCATTCTCAGTAGTTTAGACTATGGCATGTATTAAAAAAAAATTTGGTTAAATTAAATTTCTTTTTTGGCACACTTCATACAATGAAACACAAAACACCAATCAATAAAGTAAGATAGGTCATTTTGGAGTTACCGGATTCCGTGTCAAGTTTGACCATAGAGAAATTAAGCCTTCTTTATTTAAAAATTATGTATTCCGATGAGACATTTTGGAAAAGATCAAAGGAGAGAGAAATATTTTTAAAAGAAGCCAAAATGAACAAAAATGCCTTTATTTATTTTTGAATTTCATAAAGAATCATTTACATTTGCAAGCCTTCAATTTGAAAGTTGAGGGGTTTTTTTGTCTTTTTTGGAAAAATTTTGGCTTTTTCCAAAAGTAAATTTTTTTTTTGTGGCTAAAACCTAAATTCACTTATTCTCAGAGTACCTTTTTTCTTTGGCCAATATTTGTTTGGGTGAATAAATTTTTTGAAATTAAGGGTCGGCCAATGGGGTTTAAAGTATATGTTGTAACATTGCTGAGGTGGTGCTATGATGATAAAACAGGTTCTATTCTATGTTACAGTCTGCCAAATCAAGTAATGCTCAAAAAGTGCTTTTCTATATCAAAAGTTCTCTTATTAACGAGATCCTTCTCTGCTTTGCTCGCCTCTTCTCATCTGAAACTCAAACCAACCATTGCTTCATTTCAAGACCAAAAAAAGGATAACACAATACAACTCGAAAGGTTCCAGGAAGGGAGCTATTATAGCAAAATACTAACAACGAGGGTAAGAACAATAAATACAGTTTCAAATACCCAATTCCTACCATGGATTTTCAGTTAACAAGTTCAAACTGAACCTCTTGACCAGGTGTACAGAGAGCAAGAAGATATTTTCTTTTTCTTTTTTCCCTTCTACGGAGACAACATGGAGCTAAGGAGCCTCATCATCATTCTCAGCTGTTCCGCCTTTGAGATGCAAGTGCTTTTCCCTCTTCTGAAAGTCTGTCAAGCCCTTCCCACTCCCAGTCACCCCAACCTTCCCAAAAGGATCGTCAGGAGACTTGAAGATGCTCTCTCGCTTGCGTCCAGAAAAGAAACCAATCTGAAAATTAATGTAACAAGTTACAGCTCTAGCTGGGATGATATGTGAATCAGCAGTAAGAACAAGGCCACGTAAATACCAAATCAATTCTTAGAAGAAGCTAGGTTGAAAATTGTCCACCGTGAGGTAGAAGTCCCTTTTTAATAGGTACATTTATTTTTTCTGTTTCTTTGTAGTTACAATTGGTGATGGTAGAATGTTCAAAATCAATGGGCCTTGTTCCAAAAAAGGAACCCCATACTTGAATTGCTCTGTTTATTTTAAACATAAACTAAGACAAGCACCAAAGATTAATGGTCACAAGCAAAGTATGAAGTTCCTAGTACAATAACAAATCATGACCTCAGATTGCAACTCCATTAAAAAAAACAAAGTTTAACTGTGATTAAGCATAATAATCAACCTTCAGACAGTTTTTTATTTAATCTTTTTTCCTCTTCTGCAACTTCTTGTTATGTACTATCATAATGATCATCATACAACTTGTACAGCTAGTTTGGATAGATACCAAAATAGAACTAGGCTGGGAAGTGTGCAGCTAAGAAATTAAAGAAAACCCTAACTTTTCTTTTTCTTTGAAACCTGACCAAGTGTAACGCAGAGTTTCATTAATGGGAGAGAAGTTTAAAACCAAGAGATAGCAGCGAGATTTGTCTACTCTCTAATGCCTCTGTGATGAGGTAAACTTATGGTGCTTCACGGCCGCCTCACCATCACCTTTGAAAACACTGTTTTAGGCAACCACTCCAAAAAAATAAAATTCTGCCGAACTAGTAATGTGTGTAAACAAATTAAACTGGCCAATATTGTTGTCCCTTGAAAAAGACCAATCAAAGCAAAAGTGCAAGCACACAGAAATTCAAAAATGTCAAGCAAACATACCTTCTTAGTCTTGCCTTTGGTTGTTTGGAACTGTTGCCAAGCATTTTGACGTTTATTTTGCGTAACTTCTAGTTGCTCCATCCTCATCTTCGACTTAAAAGAATGTATCTTTTTTCGTTTGGTAGCTTTCTGTAGATTTTGAAGTTGGCAAGAATCAGTCCCCAAAAAACTAGTTCTTAGAGCGCATTGTAAAAACATTGAACCATAACTAGTAGGGTAAAAAACAAAAATAGAAGACTACAAACAATTATGATTGCTACCAAGCAAGTTCCAACAAGTTGGATCGCTTATTCTACCAAACAACTACCAAATCTCTAAAGTAAACCAACTTTATGTAATCTTGACTGAATAATAAAATAAATATACTTCATTAATTAAGTTCTAAATTTACTAAAAAATATACTTATAAAAACTGTCAGTTTATTTCAGAAAGCACTGAATTTAGGTCATGCAAATTATTCTTATTACAAACTTCATTCACTCTTTCAGAATTAACAGCATTCACAGAGTATTACACTTATTATTTGACTATTATCATTGCTACAAAAATCAGTTTTATATTTAAGCCGTTGCTGCTATTGTGTTTTTACCTACTTTGAACGACATGATAAACTACAATACTTGATTAGGATCCATAACACTGATAAAAATCAGTCATTGAAGACTATATTTAGGACAAACTTTTTTGTCTTGTGAATCTTCTACCACACCCACAATTTTGGGACAGGACAAAGAATGATAAAATAGATACAGAAAGATAAAATACCACATCCTCAGGATCATCAGGTTCTATGCGAAGTTTTGCTGGTAAGCTTCGTGATTGGAAGTCAATAGATGCAGCTTGTGCAATCTTCCTTTTGATTGCTTGTTTTGTGGCCTCAGCAACCCTTTCAGCTTCCAGCAATGCATTGACAGCCCCTTCTTGAATTGGCCTTACATTGGCTGGATCCACCTGGGATAAAAATTACCAGTGGCATACCACAATTACATTTAAACAGAAAAATAGATGAACCAAAACACATGTAAAAAAAAGAATAAAATGTTGAAAATATGCAATATAAAAAAGGAATTGCTAACTTGCACGTTAAGTCTAGAATAGGAAAAAGACTATGTTGTCACTTCAAAGTCATCATTACAAATATTGAATAATAGGTGAGATGGCGTTCAATATGGAAATACAATAATTTAATCATTACAACTCACTCATTTCTTACTTGACATTTAATTTATATCAATCAGAGAAAAATTCACTCCATATATGGAAATACAATATCCACTTAAGGCATAGGACTAATATATTTTCAATAAATAAAAATTCGATGTAACACATATCCTAAAACCAGAATTTAAAGACAACCACCTAACAATTCAACCGTAGGAAAACTACAAAAAGTTGTTCTATATACCCGAAAACCAAAGTAGCACACAACTGCTAGTTGCATCCATTCATGGGTATCTAACATTAAGTTTGTGGCATTTGAAACGGTTGAACCCAGATTCTAATGTTTTTCCCTCTCTGTGTCAATGCATCTATTCTATTTTCAAATACTTCATCTTCTAAACTTTTAATGTTTGCACTTCAAATTGCAAAAGTCTTCAACCAAGACGACATTTATTTCCTTTCAATGGGAAGACACGTGAAGCTTCAAGTGAGGATGTTTGCATTTAAGAAAAATCTGAAGATCCTATTTCCAGCCTACTTTCAATGATAACTGTCCATTTTTAAGCTTCTCCTTAAGCATTACAAAAAAATCAGCCAAATAACAATCATTTAGCCATTTGTCAGCAACATTACCATTTCATTTTCATTTGAAAAACTGTGTTTGTCTGTACGGCTTATATGACAACAAACTAATCTGGCTATATCTGTTCTCTTTCTCTTTTTTTTTTTTTTTTTTTTGGGCAAGAATGACCCCTAAAGATGACATAAATGTAGACAGTTGCGATAATCACAATGAATTGTGAGGTAGGCCTAGGGAGGTGCTAACATTCTATTTTAAAAGCAAACATCCTCACTTGAAAATTCTCCACGAAGAAATTATTAATGCATGGTCAAGAAATTGGCCACAAATCAGTGGCCAAAAGGTGGTCCACTGCCCACATCAGTGAAGGTTAGAGTGATGCACAATCACAAATATTTTGTAATAATCCACTACAAACAAATACAAAATCTTAATCCAGATAACTCCATGGTGGCAGAGTTAAATGATGGGTTGTGCATCTGTACTGGGTGAAAAAACATACATGTACAATATGGTTCATACATAGTATACAATAAAATTAAAAAATTAAAAATGCAAAATAGGCACATGCCTATTTGTGGGACACAATACACTTTTGGTCATTATCGTGGGTTTCAGTTTCCTCCGAGTTTACCCCTCCCCCTTCTATCTCTCACACAACACACAACAATTGTTCTCATTCCAAACGAAGTACTCGTGGATAACTTTTGGAACAAGAATTTCCCGACTGATATATGTATATCAAAATTTGGAAGCAAGATTTATAACATGACCAGGAGATAGAAAGATGACTTATTGAATTAAAAGCATAATAATTCAAGCTATCTGAGAAATCATACCTCTTCTCTATTCCCCCAGCCCTCATAAGTAACAAAATATCCATTTGGAGTGAGAGACTCGATTGTAGCATCATACCTGAACATTCAACTAATCAAGCACAGACAAAAAGAAAAGAAAAGGTAAAGAAAATGAAGAAACTTGTAAACATAAATTTATTGAAATTCAGATCTCTGTTTATTATCACATACCACTCCCCATCTTCACTCCAAACAGCTTGAACTTTTGTACCAGGAGGAAACTTGTCATGATAGTCGGAAATGCTCCCTGAATCCTAGATGAAAAAAGAACGCAACGTGACCACAGCAGGACAAGAGAGAGATTCAGCATCAGAAACATTCATAACAGTAACATCAGCTTTTTTCCATCAACGGAAAAATTCAAAAGAAAAGGGGAAATACAAAAGGAGAAGACCAAAAATAGCACTAAACACTAGGAAGATGCACTAACAGTAATATCAGGTTAATACCATGCATTACCATATTTAAAGTAGTCACTAAGGCTCAATAAATGTTGGAACAAAATTCAAATTCTGAAGCAATTATGATTTTGAATTCTGCAGAAGTTTTTATACAGAATCCTGGACCAGAACCCTATGAGAAACAAAACTCTTCTCATGTAAATCATGCCCTAGCGACAACAAAGGCACATTTCACACACTACCACATACCACATAAAAAAATTGTGGGCGTAACTTTATCGAAACATAAAGCATATTTTCCCCATAAACCTAACAAATGTCACAAAAATAAAATACAAAATTATGTGAGGATGCCAATTTACATTTTCATTCCTCTGAGTCTGGGGCAAACTAGGAGATGCACTATCACTTGTCCCAAAATCTATTCCAGAACTCTGATTTTGCTTTGCAGTTGCAAGTAGTTCTTCTGTCAGAGCAATTACCTGCAGTAACATCGATTTAGCCCAAGCCTAAATTTGAACACAATATGTACAAATATTTGTTATCATCATAAACAGCAAACTATTGTCAGAATGCAAACATAGAATGTCAGTGTGAAAATCTGAAATCAGGTGAAAGAGAAAGTGAAAGCTGACCATCACCACAAATAGCAGACCTGCAAAGGAACCAAGATAGAAGTGACATGCATCTTGATGAAGCTCTAAGGATCTTTTTTTTTCCTCTAATTCTCCAGAGTTCCAATTTCTGGAGTGTATGAACTTTATTTAACATAAAAACCATCCTCACCTTATTCAACCCTGTTATGAAAACAAACCTCCACAGGTGCCATAGCAGTTAATTGATGTTGCTAGTTTGAGCAACATGTTGATTCCTTCAAAAGAAAGGAGGAAGAAATAAAAGAAGAATGATAATTGCATTGAAAACCTAGACATCCATATAATAGTGACTGTACTTGGTTGTCATCCCTAAGGGCCAGAGAAAATGTTGACTCTGTTTCCACAAAGAAACACTAAAATAGAGACCTATACACTACAAACTCAAATAAATCAGTGTGCCACAAATGTAGGAATGGACCAAATTATTTGATAAAATGTACATGCAATATCTACAAACAGAATATAAAATATAAACAAAAAATACCTCATTGAGCTCTCTTTCCATGTCAGCATACTCAGAGTTTACAGGATCATCAGCTAAAAGCTCCTTTACCTGATCCAAAGGATGGGAAAAGTCATTACAAAAAAAAACAAACAAACGAACGAACTTTACAAGAGAATACACAGAACGATTTACCATGCAACCTACAGTATATAAGGGACATACAAGAACAACACAAAGCAACCAAACTAGCTGAAATGATCTAATTATTGTAGTCTTAATATATAATAAAACCAGATCCAAGTTTCCGGTATAAGAACATTTTCTCCAGAGAGTCACTCACTTAGGAAAATCTCCAAACAAGAATTCTGCACAGAGGTGGCTTGGACATCATCAAATACCTCAACTCTCCATTTAATCATCCTAGTAAGAATCTGACCTCTGGGCAGAGGAAAACAACTAAAAGCCCAGACTACTGTTTATAAACTCCAAGCTTGCCCTTGATGTAAAACACAACACTAAAAGAATCAAAGTACATAATAATACATATGTCTATATATGGAGTAAAGAGGAGGTATTGAGTTTGTGTCCTACATTTTTTCTCCAGATGAACAATAAGTTCATTGGCCCGCAAGGCTTCATATACTTTTGCTTATATATTACAAAACCGTCTTATGTATCAGCAAATTTTGAAATTATAAGATAGTCATTCTTCAAAGCTTTTTATTTTAAATTTCAGTATTTCAATTTAAAATAGACCATCCAATTTGGTAGTTTTCAAATCAAGATTCTTGCAAAGTAATTTTTACCACTCCTAACTCTCCCTACGACAGACAAAAGTCATAATTTTGCTTTCTCAAGGATAGGACTTGAAGACATGAGTATAGTGTATAAGCTAATCTCATGTCTATTCAATACTTAAAAGCTGACTTGCCAAATCATGGACTCACCTTCCGAAGAAAGGACATAAACCTTCTTACACGAGGTTTAGCAGCAAAGGCAGAACCTCGCCACATGAGTAATAAATGTTTTTCCCACAACTTAAAATCATCAGACAAGCAGAACATATTTTCCAGTATAATTTAGTAACTTAAATAGGAAATAAGCAAAGTCTACTAGGTTTAAAAAGGGATATGGCCACCTAAGAGCCAAATAGCCCCATACACATATGTATATGTACATTACTGCTGGGATTATGAACATATATATTAATGGGCTAAGAACCTGGTGGACCTCCATTTGGGTCTACTAAGTTTGCTCTTTACAACTGTTTGAATAGGTTAGGCTTCTTTGATAGGCAGGAATGAAATGAATTTAGTCTTTTTCCTTTACTTTACTTAGTTTCCTTTTCTGCGTTTTCCTTCCTTTTTCTACATTTAGGGTTCTATCAATTACAGGAATCTCAATTTCCGAGGTAGAAGATCACCACGGCCCATTGACTATGTTGCTGAAATAATCAACCGCACGCATAATAACTAAATTTTAAAATCTCTCCCTTTCTTTATTTTGAGAAAAGGGTTCTTTCAAGTACACAGTGAGTGCAAAAACCCTAGTTAGAATTCAACTAAACCCTAATCATAACATATCGACTGTAACGTTGAAAATTAATGACAATAAGAACAAGAACAAATAAATTAACGAAGAAGAAGAAGAAGAAAGTAGAGTGGGGACCTGGTGAAGCTGATCTTTGTATGTTGAAAGATTGGAGGCCAGTTCTTCTATGCTTAGCTCTTCTCCTCCTTCTCCTTCCATGTTTTTTATTTTTTGGTTTGTTTATCTTCTATAATTCTCAGAGATAGTTTATTGATTCCGAGCGATTTTTGCAAAAGCAGGAAGAAGGAAACAAAGATTGAATTGGAGAGGAGAGAAGAGAAGGAACCTAAACACTACGAATCATCAGATTAGAAAAACGCAAGTAGAAAGGAGACTCAACCAGTGGACTCTCCTTGGGTCCGAATTGTTTCCTCCTGGGCTGGGTCTAACATTTGGCCCATACATTTTGTTTTTTCGTCTTTTTAATCTCAAATAATAAATAACTAGACCCAATAACCAATAACAATAGTCACGATGATAATCAAATGACTAATTGACTTTTGAATTAGTAATTTTTTTGCAAGAATGATACTTGAAAGATAACTTTTAAAATAAATCATTCGAACTATGAGATTACATTATGAAATTGGCTCAAATGAGTGATTCGTGTTTTTATTTTTATTTTTTTTAGTCAAAGATTAGTGTTTTATTAACTTATGAAATGATTAGCGTTTTATCCTCATCCAAATGACAGCTCGCCCTCTACTATTTTGAGTAATATTTTGGAGCTATATAGACTGGTAACCTGTCGAATTGACTAAGGGCCAGTTTGGCATTGCTGTGCTGTAAAAATAATCGTTGTCAGATTTGCTGTGAGAGAAATCAGCTGTGAGAGAAAGCAGTTTGGCGTTTGGTAAAATTTTTGTTAAAAGTGTTGTTGGGATTGATTTTACGTATAATAAGAAAATGATTGTCGCATAATCATTAAACCCAGCGCCTCTTCGAAACTGATTTCTGCATAATCAGAAAATGAAAGCACCTCATTAGCTGCTTTCCCTTATAGCTTTCTCTCACAGCAATTTTTAACAATAAGTGATTTTCTCACAGTTTACCAAACGGGTTGGGCTTCTCAAAATTTTTTAAAAATCACTTATCACCCCAAATAAGCAATGCCAAACTGGTACTAAACCAGATGATTCGAACCGTAACGACTAATTTGGTTTATTTTGACCAACAAAAAAAGTTACATAATTTAAAATTTTAATGGCTTCATTTGATTTGATTTTGAGTTTTTGTAAATTGGTCTAAACCAAATTGGACCGTTTACTTGTGTGTGTGTGTATATATATATTTAATTTTACATGTGTAATACTCTCATTGGATAATAATTAGATAAGGATGTTGAATTTGAAGTTTGATTGAACTTTTAAGCTATTAATATTTGAATTGTGACTATATCAGTTTATTGAACTTTGAAGCTTTATAGCATGTTGAATTTTAGGATGGTTTTATATGCTAGAAAAAGAACAAATATGTAGCATATTATGAATTTTGTTTTGTTGTAATTGGTTTAACAAAGTTGAAAAAATGCAAATGGGGAAAGAAAAAAAAAGGCTTATTCAAACCGTTTTAAATTGGTCTAGTCTGGTTCAATTCCCCCCGTAATTTTTAACAAGATTGAATTGAATCAAACTATTACATTACAATTTGTTTAAACCCGATTTTGGAGTGAAACCAATCCAATCTGGACAGTACCCACTCCTATTTTCTTGTATCATCACCACCTCTTCCTCTCTTTATCCATTTCTCTTTCTTTTTTCTCCAAAACAGAAATCAAATTCTGAGGGCCGCTTAGGACTTGGCCTAGGATTCAAGTATTGTTTGTAACTTATAAGTCATTGACCTTAATTGGGTGGGACAATATTTGCTTAACATTGTATGCATCGAGATGTTCTTATAAATAATTGCCAGCTGAGAATGAAAACTTTTCCGTTGGTGATCTTCCTTTTTCCCAATTTGTTTTAATTTAACCATTGCAAAAGCTTTTCCCCAATTTGTGCCAGTAGTGAACTTAAATACCAATACTTTTAGTATCAGTCCCTCAAAATATGTTCTACCCTATCATTATTATCAACATATAATAGAAGCAAATGATTCATACACCACACAACCAAGATATCACAAACACATGGCTTTTGGACTTTTTTGGTTTTTCAGCAAAGGATAATTTCTCTTCATCTATATACAAGGGAGCCCAAAACAAAACTAGCCAGCAGCTGCCATAGGGATAATGTCTCAACTCAACCGCTAGCACAGCTACAAGCCCCAACCACCATGGCTCTTGATTGAAGCTTTAAGACATGTTGCAAACACTCACCTCCTCCATCCACCCCACCCTTTCCCTGCAAGTAACACAAAAATTATCAGTAAGCAGTTGTCAGAATACTAATATAGATTCATTATCAAGAAACAGAATTACGGGTTCTGCAACTAATATGCACAACAAACAAACTCATTATCACTACAAATAATAAGGGTCAAACTATTAGCACTTCTAATTTAGCTCCTCCAAAATGTTTATCATATAACCTTTCACTCATACCTCCTGCAGAAAGTTAAAATTTGGAGTGCCAATGGCACAGTGCAATAAATACTATTGTCACCCCCACAATGCTCACATCACATAAACGTTTCCCCAACATTTTAGAAACATTTATCAATAATAAAAACAAACAAATCATTTTACTCAGCACACTAATATTGTTAAAGTGTCTTCACACTAAAATTTAATTCTCTTTTTCCCCCCTTAGCTTTGGATGACCATGGCAGTGCTCTATCATGGGGGCAGTCATGGAGAACATGTGTATTTTTTATATATATTATTATTATTAACATTATCTCACGCATGTCTTATTGTTTATCAAACATCAAATTAAAAATGAAGCAAAAGGAAAAGAACAAAAGAAAATAAGAAGGTTTATTGAGCATGGGGGGCTTCAGAAAACCATACCATGTGCCCTCCTGACTTTGTTTCATGAAGAAATTGCTCCAATGCACCATCCCCACTAAGAATTTTTGCTCCGAGTCCTGGAGCGTCCACTGATCCAACAGCTTCTTCATCAACCAAAACTGCACATACCCTATTGGTTTCTGGCTTGATGTTTGGAACCTGTGCACAATCATAATGATCTAGTGTCATAGACCCAAATACAGAAATACCCAGGGTAAATACCAAAATTATATATACTTTCAGTTTTCTTTTTCTCTTTTCTTCTGCAAGTAAAAGTCATCAAGTTCATGGAATGGCCAGACATTAAGCAAGTTATTGCCTTGCGTAGCATAGAAGAGCGACGCTACCATCGTTTCATAACCAAAACTTGGAGCAGCAACTAGAATTACTAATTTCACTAATATGCCAGGAATACAGAGATCAGCTGCTTCCTTCTATGGTTAAAGTATACAGCGTCCCTACCCAGTATGCCCCAGTGAAAATGAAAACATCCTGAGACATCCCACATATAGAGGAGTGCACTTAATTGTATTAGCAACATAAGGACTAGGACAGATGCGACAGTCTGCATATACCTCAAACATTGCGTCTGTAAGAATGTTTTCCAATATGGCTCTCAAACCTCGAGCACCAGTGTTCTTTGCCATTGCCTTTTTCGCAATCAATCTCAACGCATTATCAGTAAAATGTAATTTGACCTGCAATGCCATAAAAAATAAGAAATTACATCATAAATACATATCCTGCAAAAAATGCAATTATGAAAGGTATGGAAAGAAAGACAGTATTGACTACAAAATGCAATGGAACAAAATCTTACATTGTTCATGTTAAACATCTTCTTGTACTGTTTACCAAGAGCATTTTTAGGTTCTGTGAGGACCTAATTTACAAGATAAAACATAGGGATTTTTCAATATCTTATCAATAAGGAAATAAAAACCACAAAAGAGTCTAGCCAACCAGGAAATTTGATTCTAATATCAAGAAGACGAAATGAATAAGCATAACAGGGAAAAAAAGTGTGAGTAACTTCTAATATAACTTGTAAAAAAAATTAAAAATCAAGCTTTTGCTTATGCTTAAGAAGTGAATAAGCATCATGTGCAGTACTATATCACATAATACACAATATCCTAGAGATTGAGCATACCTAAAATGTTATACAGTCCCACCAAATAACAACCATAAAAACAAGAAGAAAAGATTCGGGATATAACCATGGAAGAGATAGACCACACCTGAACAAGTTGGTCCTGATTTAAAGATGACAAACTAACTAAAATTGGAAAGCGTCCAACAAATTCAGGTATCAGGCCATACGCAATAAGATCACCAGTCTCCACCTACAAGTCCATTGGAAAATTAAGTTTAAGGACTCATTATTCAAAAGAATTAGGGTTTTTGTGTCATAGAAAAGGAAAAGAAGTTAAGGAAGCCTCAAGTCAAAAAATTGATAAAAGGAAAAGACAAGAACAATGAAGGAATATACAATATCTTTGACTACATTGAGTTTTTATTCTCACAGATTCCAACAATGCTGATGCCGAGATGGCATCAGTCAATTCACTAGTCCTCATGTTTGCACGAACTGGTGCTCCGAAGCCAATGGAAGAATCTTGGAGCCTGGAAAAAGAAGATGCCTAAACCTTTCAAACTACCTTCAAAGTAGAAACATTCATGCAAATAATTTCTATTATAAATCCCTGGGAGATTGCATTACCTTTCTGAAATGGCTTTCTCCAAACCAACAAATGCCCCACCACATATGAAAAGGATATTTCTTGTATCCATCTGCAAAGAATCACAACAAAGTAATGAGATGCACCAGAAACTAATGTTGACATTTTTCAAACAAAGTACGCCTAAAAGTCAGACTTCGAGCACAAATTGTATTATCAAAACTGAACAATGCCTGCTGAAATGTAATTAGCTATTCCACATTCACAGTCCTTTTTTTTAAACTAAAAATATTAGAAGCACTTCAGTTCTCTCAAAAGCCTTGGAAACCTCGGCCAAAGACACACCTCAAGCAAAAAATGTTGGGGGAGCGAAAAGTTGGACACCATTCAAATGAAATCATTTTCCACTTTCTCGCATACTTAGTATATCTAGTGAACTAGATATAATATGACTAGTGAGCCAGCTTGTTCATGTGATTTTAATTTCATAATAGGACCATGAATTCACAGCTTATGAACCCACCCCATACAAGCAATATTTGTGCTTTGCACTGCTGGAAAAGCCTGACATGAGGCCTAACGCCTCAGGAAATATTACGAACCTGAGGGCATCTTTTGCTTACAAATCTAATAGCATCAAAGAAAAGCATACAAAATGACGAGGAAGAAATGAACAGGATAGTTGTAAGCCTAAAATACCTGAATACTATCACCATGAGGATGCTTCCGAGCTCCTTTATCAGGAATGTTAACTACCTGATGGGTCAAAGTAAAGGAAATTTATTCTTATATAACTAAATGAGAATTTGAGGAACATTTGAAAGCATCACAACTGATGCCTCTTGATCATTTTGAAGATGTCAATCACTATCGATGGGTCACATATGTCGCTGAAGGCAGTAGTTTAATTTCCATATAACTTTTACTTAAACCATATAGTATGCAACAAAAACATGATCCAATGCTAGGACATCAAATCAATAGATGTGGTTTCATTATAGTTAAAGCCATCCACATTAAATTATTTTGCATAAAGGTCTATTACACGACAGAGGCCCAAGTTCATTGCAGGAAAAGGTTGGAAGTAGGACTACATGGAAACTGAAAAACAAACACACAAGTTAAATTCTTATTTTTCACAAGAAGGTATTATTAAAAAATTTAGCAAATATCGTAGAGTATAAAGTGGGATGCTTCAAATTACAGAAAATAAAAAAGGATATCACAAGTATTAGTTTATAACTACTAGTACAATATTTTACCATTTGAGAAGCTAGAAATTCACCAGGAAAAATTGCATGCAGGAATGCTTCAATGGTGTTCTACGAAAAATGGTTTTAATATAGATCTATTAAAAAAGAAAAAAATAATTAATTGCTGGATTTATGTCAGTTATTGCTACACTCACATTATGAAGGTTGACAGGATTTGATTTTCATCAACCACTACCCAACCAAATTCAAGACCTCCAGAGAAAGACTGAAACGAAAATTGATGTAAAAGATGAAAGATTTATCCTAAAGAAATTGACAGCCCAAAACGATTAGAAATAAATGTCTTCAATCTGAACAGGATAACTTGCATTAAACTAGGAATCCTTCTTGTTAGAGTTCTTCATAATGATATATAAAAATTAGCAGAACAGGGATCATATTGACAGACTAACTTAAAGTTCTTTTACTTGTGTCTTATGAAAAAGTTGGTTTACTTACAGTTCCTTCCAACATTTTCAGCAATGCCTGTTGAACACCCTCCCCAGATACATCTCTGCTTAAGCTCTCTGCCTGAAAAAATAGCATCTTTGTTATTAATATAAGGGGGCGACACAATAAGTTGTTTTTCGAAATGTATATCTATATCACACCTTCTTCGTTATCTTATCAACTTCATCAATGTAGACAATCCCTTTCTGAGCTGCTTCCACATCAAAGTCAGCTTCCTAAACACAATGCAACAATCAGAATGTAATTATGTAAGATGTGCTTAATGTCACACAAAAACACACAAAGTTGCAGTGCTTGTACAAGAAACACATGATATAACATAAACCATACCATAAGCAGTCTATACAATATTGATTCCACATCTTCTCCGACATAACCTGCCTGCATAGTCACAGAGAGAGAGAGAGAGAGAGAGAGAGAGAGAGAGAGAGAGAGAGTAGTGGAACTATCAGTGAATCCTTCCAAGCAACAGAAACCATCTCTCATTAACCAAATTGATCGACATTATCACATCTACATCAGTATGACATGGAAAATTCAGGACATCAAATTCATGACAAACAGAACAGCAGAGATTTTGCTGTTTTTTGCATGAAACCATTGTTATGTAAAGACTCCCTGCAATTCAATTTTTTTTTCTCCTCTCTTAATACTAACACCATCTCTGTCTTCTTTCCTTATTTTCTTTTCCCTCCTTGTTAACTTGAATGTCTTTTTAGATGTTACAATTGAAAAGAAAAAAAATTAGAAAGGAAACCTCAAATCATATAATATCAATGATCAATCCCACAAGAGGATACTTCTACCAACTTTTCTCTGAATGACAATGAAAATGATATTTCCAATATGCACAAGAACATTTTCACACATCATTGCATACTTAGAAAACCATAAACTTCCATAAAGGGTGAAAAATTATCCTCTTGCATGGTTCATGTGCAACAAATTAAGATTCAAATGAAGTAATCTGATTTTACACAGTCAATTGACAACGATACAAGATTCCCAAAAGCATTACAAGAATGTTTTCCACACAATGACATTTGAAACAAAAGCTGTAGGGATCATAGCCATGACATCAAGAACATCATGGGTGGAACAAGACTGAGCAACGCACTTGCCTGTGTTAATGTTGTACCATCAGCAATGGCAAAGGGCACATTCACAACACGAGCTAGTGTTTTTGCAAGTAACGTCTTCCCTATCCTTGGTCAATGCAAAAAATCATAATGAGTACAAAAATATTTTTAAGCTGCAGGAGGTTCCAACGAAAAAAAGGCCACAAAGCACATATAAATAAGAATGTTAATCCTACCTGAACCAGTGGGACCCATCAATAATACATTGCTCTTCTCCAGTTCCACAGAATCACTATCAAGTACACCTTGAAGTTTAGAATCAGCTGATTCTGCACCAGACCTGATATTCAGTTCGCAATCCAACAGTCAATTAATAAAAGGCATAAAAGACACATAAATTTAAACAATGAAAGTATCTAAAACCGTATCTTCACTTGTTGTAAACATCTCAAACACAGAAACTTTCTCAGCAAGGAAGGACCAACACTTTTTGGGCTAACCTAGTCTGCAGGGAAGCGTGATGTATCCTTTTGTAGTGGTTGTAAACTGCAACGGAAAGCACCTGCACACGCACATATGAAATCGTTCATTTAATTTTGCACAACATTTGATTTGCTCAAACAATGAAATCCAATAAAATTCAAAAACCCAAAACCTTTTTGGCTCTTTCCTGGCCGACAACAAAGTCATCAAGCGCCTTATAAATTTCCTTCGGGGTGGGCAAGTCCGTGGCTGCCGAGTCCATGGCTGCCGGAGACGAATCAACAGCGCAGGAGGGCTCTGGTTTTGCATGAAAGGAATTGGCGCGGGTGTCATCCTTAGGCTTAAGCCTACCAATCTCGATGAAAGTGCCATGCAGAGGGACGAGTTTCAAGGGCCTGAAATAGAAGGCGGTCTTGCAATTGGGGCAAAGATTGAGGGCCTGGTAAAGCCCCGTCTCTCGGCCGGTAATGGAGAGTGGTCGGGTGGAGAAGAGCACCGCCATTTGTTTGGAGCATCGGGGACAATTGACGTCAGCCCTAATGTGGTCGTACTCTCCTCCACTCCCTCGTCCTCCTCCAATTGGGCCCTCCCACTTGTGGCGCTGCTGGTGGTGGTTTGGGAGGACTGAGGAGTGAGTGTGCGTGGGGTTTGTGGCAGAGACTGATGCGGTGGCGGTGATTATTCGGATGAGGGAGGATCTGCTGCCGCTGCTGCTAAATCTATATCGAAGAGATTGAAACATGTCTTGGTTTTGGCGTTTTCGGTGTAGCAGATTTTTGGTTATTTGATTACAATTTGGAATGGAAAAGCAGAGTCATTGGAGAGGGAGGAGAAATGGAGCCCCTTCCCTCCAACAGTAGCCAACTGGAGTTTTAATCTTTCTCCTTTTTACTTAGAATAATTAGCCAATCTTGCATGCCATTAAATTTGAGGGTAAATTGGTTATTTTGTTTTCATTCTTTTTGTAATATATCTATCTATCTATCTATATGTAACTAAAAGGCAGAAAATGGTAAAATATTCAAAATATCAGAAAATACTATTGTTAATTCAAACATTAAGGGGGTGTATCCAATTCAAACTTTTAATGACTGTTATAGAGTTTAAAAGTATGAAGATATTCAATTTAGACTTTTAAAGAGTATATAAAAGTCTAGTGGTATTCAATTATGACTTTTAAAAAGTATTTAAAAGTTTGGTGGTATCAAAAAAGTTAATGACTTTTAAAAAGCTTATTAAATGAATGACTTTTCCATACTTTTAAGGCTAATTGTTAAAAGGAAAACTCTTGCCAATTTACTAGTGACTTTTATCAACTATATGAGAGTATTTAAGAATTTGTCATCTCTATAAAAGTCACTCACTTAAAAAAAAGTCTTTATAAGTATGAATTGGATACACCCTCGTTAGAATAATTAGCCAATCTTGCATGCCATTAAATTTGAGGGTAAATTGGTTATTTTGTTTTCATTCTTTTTGTAATATATCTATCTATCTATCTATCTATATATGTAACTAAAAGATAGAAAATGATAAAATATTCAAAATATCAGAAAATATCATTGTTAATTCAAATATTAAGAATTAAAATTATTAATTAAATGAATATAATATAGTAAATTCACATTTTTTTCATATTAAAAAAATTAAAATATCAAATCAAATCAAATAATAAATTCTATTTTTATAGAACACAACTACTCATTATCTTTTTTAATTTTAAAATAAATTTTAATTTTTTTAAAACAAGCCTCTCGCAGGCGAGAAAACTCGTGCGAAGAGACTAGTATATATATACAGTCACGTTGGATTAAAATTAACCAATAATTAACTCAACTTTTAATTTTTAATGCAATTGTTTTCAATAAAATAAATTTTAAAAATGAAATATTCTCATTTCTTGTTTTTTTTTGTTGGGTTGAAATTCTCGTTTCTTATTTTCACTTGTCATCAGTTGCTCCGTTGAGGTGCAATAAATGATGACATGTCAAATTGTCGAAAAGTTGGATGAGAGATTTTTTTAGTTGAGCGTTGTTCGGCCACCTACAGCCCTCTCTTATTCCTCCTCCGTGCCATTCATTTTTTTCATTTTCATCGTCGCTTTTCTTCATTTATTCCTGTTAGCTTGGAAATTTCACGATCCAAGAGAAAATGCCAGCAATGCCTTCGTTATTTCCAAAGCTTCTACACTCCCTATGATAAATCACAAAGGAAAAACAAAGGAGTATAAAACCTGAAAGAAAGCCCAACCGATTCATTTTCCATACCAATTCATCTCCTCATTGCCTGCCTGCCTGCCTGCCTTGCCCTTCATCAAACAAACAAGACATTTGCATTTCATTTTCTTCCTGCGAAATGCCGCCTCCTCCTTCTCCTCTGAAACTCAAGAAGTCATCATCTTCCACTCAAACCCTCACCACCACCGCTACTAGCGCACAGGATGCGCGCCTTCTCGTGCGTGAAACGCTGCGTATCAGTGCCAGCCTCGCCTCCTCCGAGCCTAATCTGCCGCCTTTAGACACGCAAACTCACACCCCTCCGAACCAGCTTGGTTTGCTCCACCACGATCAAGACTTCGTAAGCTCCAGCTTCAGATTGATTTGCTGCGAGGAGATCGACGGCCGCCGATGGAACTACGTGGCCGAGCCCGATTCCTCCCCTGGTACCTTCAAGAAGGGCTCCCTTCGTGCTCTTGGCTTGCACAGCCCCCAACCTCCTCTCGACGTCAGTACTTCTAACTATTACTCTCTCTATCTCTCTCTCTCTTTTTCTTTTTTTTTCTTTAATTTGGTTGCTTTCTGCTGCATTTTTCTTTTCAATTCTTCTATTTTTCCACGCTGAATTTCATATAATCTGTCAACTCAATTTTTGAAATTTGAGAATTGAGACTGAACAAGTGGTGCTGTTTGCTAAGTTGCACAATAAGCGTTGGCATTTTGCCATTCATGCATCAGAGCCATTGCTGGCGCTCACTGACGTTGAAATACATGAAGAGTTTGAGAAATTTGATCACTTTTTCTCTGTGTGATGATTAGTGACTCTTCTGAGAGGTTCGGGTGTTGAATTTTTTATGCAGGGGTTGATGTCATTTGTAAGGTCATATGTTGTCCCGGAAGGATTCCCTGATAGTGTAATCCCTTCCTATGTCCCCTACATGACGTGGAGAGCTCTCAAGGTATACGCTTAATGTCTGTGCTCTATTTATTATGCATACGGACCCCGCAAATGCTGCTCAAACTTGTGTGAAACTATTTCCATGATTTGATCACTTTGGTGTAACTGAATGCCATATTGACAATAACCATATTTGTTGTAGCACTTCTTTGGTGGCGCAATGGGTGTTTTCACAACACAAACCCTTTTGAATTCTGTTGGAGTCTCTAGAAACACAGCTGCTCCTGGTGCTGTTGCTATCAATTGGATTCTCAAGGTAGTGATACTACTTGTCACTGTTGATTTGACATTTGTTGATCACAAATTTTGTCTTTACTCGTATTGGACTCTCAAGGAAAATTGTAACATTCCTTTGGTTTTTATTTGTTTTGGTTGCAAAAGGGTGATTTTGAGAATATGCCTTTCTTTCTGCTCTCTTAATTGTATGACATGTAAACTTGGCTATGACTAGTAAGTTTTGGGTTACACAAAGCATACCTTTCCCAGATCAGAACAGACCAGGGAGGAGCTTAATTATATTAAAGCCTTTTTAGGAGATCCTCATATTTTCTATTTGGAGTTGGTACTTGCCAGGGCTTTGCCTGTCCCAATTAGTACCTGTTACCATCCCTTGAAGGCCTTTCTAATTATGTTGGTAAGTGATTTAGATATTCAATTGAACCCACCACACTAAATGAGCATGAGAAACTCCTTATCCTTACTCTTGTGACTGCCGAAATCTTGATGGAGGAACCTTAGGTTTTATTTTATTTTTAGTTATGATGGAGGTGCTGTAATTTCAGAAGCAAAGAACCACTACATGAAAAATTTCAGGCTCATCAGGAATAATTATGATGTACAAAATTATCAAGGTTTTTGTTTTCATATAGATCACGTTAAATGTTTGCCCCTAAATCATCTTTCCCAGTCAGCATATTATTTGCATAAAAGAGTAGATGGTCGGCATGTGTTAGTTTAAATATACCAGACTATTTGCAATCATACTGGGAGGGTTTGCCCATGTAACCATTTGTGAGAGCAGTGGAAGACTAATTTGAAATAAATATGATGTTCCATTGGAATTATATTTAAAAACGAGAGGATATTTTGTATAATTTTTTTTTTTGTTTCTTGTGGTGTAAAATTATACTTATACTTTCAAATATTGGATTGTTACCGAGGACTCTTGTGGTGCTTAATGGGGCTTAGGTCTTCAACTAAAGATTGGCCACTGCCCTGGGGTCATGATTAGAATCTGAATCCTCTTGGATCAATGTTATACGCATTTAGACTGTGTTTCATTTGGGTTGTGCCTGTTGCCATTGTTGAAATAACTTTAAAATATAAATATTGTTGTGCCAAATATTTTTATGAACAAAATTTTAATTTTAATTTACATGTTTTTCCTTTTTGTGGAGTTCTTTTCTTTGAATTGTAATTTCGAGTTTAGTCAGTGATACCAAACTTGGAAGTGTTTAGGTAGGAGTTTACTTTAGTTCTTTGCACAAAAGTTCTTTCTTCGAATGTTATGGTGTAATAGAATTGTTTGATGAATCTAAATTTTAAAATTTATGTCTAGGATGGTGCTGGTCGTGTTGGAAAAATGCTTTTTGCCCGACAAGGAAAGAAATTTGATTATGATCTAAAACAGGTAAGAAATACTTACAATTGCGATGAACTTTAGAGTACTGGACATTTCCCAACTTACAGTATTCACTCACCTTTCTTTAATGCTGAGGTGCTATAGTTGCGGTTTGCGGGTGATCTTCTTATGGAGTTGGGTGCTGGAGTAGAGTTGGCAACTGCAGCTGTGCCGCACCTTTTTCTTCCTTTGGCTTGTGCAGCTAATGTGGCCAAGGTTTGAGCCTTTTTCTTATAACATAATGTATGACTTGTCAGTTTTACAATCTCTGATTCTTGTTTGTTTCTCATAGAATGTTGCTGCTGTAACATCAACATCAACTCGAACACCAATTTACAAAGCGTTTGCAAAAGGAGAAAACATTGGGGATGTGACAGCTAAAGGAGAATGTGTTGGCAATATTGCAGACTTGGTATGCTTGTCGAACTTCTTTCTTAAGATGATTATACATTACAGGAATGTCAACATGGTACCACTGAACCATATGAGGACATTGGTCTAGTAGTTGATATGGTATACATGTTGGTGTTAAATATAAAACATTCTAAAGGGCTTGATTGGTATTGTCTACTTTCCTAGAACCATTCATGAATTAGTACATAGAAGCCATTCTAGAACCCTTTTGTTCTTTCCATAGGGATTATGTGGCCATGAAGTGAAATTGTTTCAGCCCATCTGATTTAATCAATCTAACTGTAATTGTGTGTGAAGTACACCTAGAATTATATCTATTTTGGTCCAGTTGTTCCTGAATTTGACATCAATTTGTTGGCTTTTGAGACTATTTATCTTTGGATGTCTTTTTGTGTACGATCATTCCTATTGATATAAGGTTGGCCAAGATAAAACTTGATTGTTATAACATAATGCTAAAGTGTGTAGAACTTGGGATAATATGTACACGTATGTGTTGTCTCCTGTAAAGGCTTTTGAAATATGCCAGTTGGACCTTTGTACGTGGTGGATCCAACATATGCAGAGCACAATGAATAAATCTGTTTTAAGTTTGTATGATTACTTTTACTATATATGTCATTGATGCTACGAAATTATAAGTACCATTACCTCCATTATTACTAAATTTATTTTGCTAAAATTACAATGACATTACCACATTATCAACTCTTATCAACAATTTCCATCACTACTATATGTTTTCTACAATTAAGTACAATCTTTTATTCTTGTCTAGGATACCAAAGAAATAAAATTATATCCTACTTTGAAGTAAATTCTAATCTAAATAAATCCTCTAGATAATAAAAGGGACTAACAAGCCAGAGCCTGAGTCAAACTCCTAGGTCTTGTCTTATTTTGACCTGAACTGAGGCAAGAGAGATCTTATTTAACCTTTTTTTTTTGTTCAGAAAATATAAGCTTTACATATCCACAACATACCATATAGCGCTATGTATTTTAACCATAATAACATTAATAATTTTTTTGAATTGTCTCCATGTGTAATAAAAATTCCTGTGCATTAGGCATATCCATATCTGGCACATAGGCAATGTGGGTTGCAAAGTGTGTTTTTAAGTATCAATGCTTCTCAGAACAACATTTCTTGTGGTGTTCTATCTTAGGAGTAACGTTTCTGTTATACTGGGTGGGACTCCCAAATTGGGAAGTAGGTACTTCTGGTGTCCCTGGAAATACATCTCTCCGGTCATTTCTATTTCTCTGTCAAAATGTGGTCAGGGATGGGTTTGAAATTTGTTTTTGGGAAGATATTTTCTTTGGCTATTCATTTTTTCAATTTGTTTTCCCTTAAATTTATATATCTTCATTGAATTATAGTTTGGTTCTTTATCATCATTTTCACCTTATAGAACCTTGACTTGGGATCTAACCTGTACGAGGAATCTAAATGATAGGGAATTCATAGAGTTTTTGAACTTGTTGACTCCTATTAGTAGTATTGCCTTGACTCCATTGCTGTTCATAATCCTATTTTTGGTCCTTCTGAGATACTTTGGTGTCCCAAGAGAAATTTCCTGCTTGGTTCATGGCTCATGTTAAAACCATTACTTGTGAATTGTGATATGCTTCAAATAAGGATGCCCTGTGTTTTCATTATATCCTCATTTTTGTGTGTTATGCAAAGCAGTAGGTGAATCGATTGAGTGTATCTGTTCACAGGGCTCCTTCTCTTCACAAATTTGGAATAGGTTCTTGCTTGCTTTTGGTCTGGGGTAGGTTATTTTAAGAAACTGTTATTCATTGTTAAGTGAGGTATTTTTGGGGGTCAGAGTGAAGAAGAAAGCTTTTACTATTTCACATTAGGCAGTGTTATAGTCTATTTAGATTGCAGCATACGAATTTCTGATACAGAATGAGGAGATCAGTTTTATTTTGGGAATAGTGCTAAACCAATGGAATTTGTCACAGGATTAGAGTAGGAGATCTTGAATTCATATCCTTGCAATTGCAACCTCCAAGTATAAATTGAATTAGCCGTGTTGAGCAGTAGTGGTGAAGAGAGACTCAAATGTGAGGAGAGTGTTAGAATATAAAATAATTGTTGTCCCACTGCTCATTAGCTTAAGCCTTTTGTAATAGTAGTAAACCAGTGAAATTTATCGTGGACGAAATTAGGTTTTTTGCCTCTTGTAGGTGTCTTTGGCTATCATTTTTGGGGTCTAACCCTTGATTTGGCTTGAGCTTTGTGTTTAGTGTAGCTTTGTTTGTTTTGTCTTTTTAGTTGGTTTTCCCTAAGTGGACGACTTGTCATCCCTTTTTTTGTACTTTTTTGGGTTTTGTAGAGAATGTGGTACCAACCTTCGAACCCAAGACCACTAGGGAGTTAGTGCAAGCGCACTTAACCACAAGGGCCTTTTCTGTACTATTTTTTTCCTTTATTAACAGTTCTTTTTTTCTTTGCCTATTAAATTCTTGTTTCCTGTAGAAGAATAAGTTTTTAATTATTAAAGTTCTATTACTATGTCTATTTCATTATGCACTTTTATGCATGAATGTAATCATTTGAGGTTGATGTCTGTGAATTATTGCCCCATGAAGCTGGGAACTGGACTGAGCATAATGATCTCAAAAAGAAATCCATCATTGATTACTACATTTGGCCTCCTTTCATGTGGATATGTTCTCAGCTCCTATCAAGAGGTTTGAATGTGTACACTAGTGTAGATTGATTTGGTTTTGCATGTTTCCATGTTGCATTTGTTTAATGGAAGTTATTTGTTTCCAGGTTAAATCTGTAGTATTGCACACCTTGAACCGAGCAAGATTCAGTGTGGCAGTAGATGCCTTTCTTAAAACAGGTTAGCATTAATGTTCTACCCTAGATACCATTTTCCCTTGATGCATACTTTTCTGTCATCCAGGATATTCGTAACAGCTATGCCTTAGTGTATTTTTCAGATATATATTGTAATTATGCATTTTTTTTCCACTTCTAGGGCGAGTTCCATCATTGCAAGAGGGAAACTTGAATGAAAACGTTTTCAGATTTCCCTGGTTGAAAGAGGGGCCTGTTGTTCTTGGTATGCTTGTGCAAAGATCTTGTTTTCCTTTGTCCTTTTAATTCTGATTTGTTTGGTTCTTTTTCTTGGTTTCAACTGTTTGTTTTTTTTTTTTTTCCCTTCTGTTATCTTTTGCTTTTATTTACTTTTTTATCATTTTCCATACTGGGTGGCAGGGCCAAGATTTAAAGATGCATTCCAAGAGCCAAATGTCTATCTTGCGATAGAGCCCTTCTTTGAGGTTGGCCCTCTTGGAGAGGGGTTGAATTTTGGAAATCAATCTCTCTCTCTCTCTCTCTCTCTCTCTCTCTATATATATATATAATTAATTTTGCATTCTTGTAATATTATCCTAATCTATCTATCTATCTATCTCATTAGTATTGTTTTTCTTGATTGATGACAGAAAGAGAGATATGTTGTCACTTATAATCCAAAAAAAGGTAAAGTATACGCATTGTTCAAAGATCAAGCGAAGTCAGATGACATTCTAAAAGCGGCATTTCATGTGAGATGTTCAGCTTATTTATATGGTCTATTTGGTGTCTTGAAAGGTGTTTTCTTCATACAGGGGATTTAAGATGTTATATCACTTTGCATTGCAGGCACAGGTGCTTTTGCATTTCATGCATTTATCTTTTGACAGTCAGCATCTGTCTCAGAAGGAGAAGACAGGTGGATACTTAAACTTTAAGCCCACAGCTAAAGATCTGGAGGCGTGTATTGTTGAGTCATGTAAGATGGTCTCAACTTCATATGGGATTTTCAAGAGTAAAGCTGCAGAGCAGGTAATTGGCGTTCAAGATTGGTAATTTTAATCATTTGTGACATTCAGTTGGCCAGTTTGGCAGGCTTATAGTACAAATGCTCACAGATTTACACCTTTGTCACGACTCATGATGTCTTGCCAAACAGTCTAAACATGTTATATTGTGAGTCAATCCATCAGAACCATTGATAAGGTGGATACCTTTTTTACTTTATGGTCTAAGTTAATACTTTAACAACATAACATGCATAGTATTTGACAAGAGAATGTTACTGTCAACTTTAGCATCCTGAGATCTATTCAGTGATGCAGTGGATGTGGTTCAATTGTTTGTTTGCATAACTGGTTATTCACCTTGGGGTTTTATCCAAATGGACTGAAGGATTTTTTAGGTATAATTATTGCTTTTATTTTACCAAGATTTATGTGGTTTCTGGGCTTAGTATAAGCTTAATTGAAACAATTGTATTGTACCAAGATTTATGTGGTTTCTATGTATGATTTATAATTCATATTTTGAGTTGTATCCAATTGCATTGCTGTTGTAGGTGTTGCATTAGATAAGGATATAAGGATACTGGTTTTCCATTTGGAAACAGCCAGCTTAAGTTTTCTTCTTTGTTACAATGAACACCTTAAAAATCATTTGGTATTTTTCCTCGAAAATATTACAGTGGACGCCCAGCCTAGGTAGAAAATTACAGAGGCGGCCTAAGTATTTGGACTGCATACACTTTTCCATTTTAGTTCCACGTGTGTAAGGATATATGTATGACATTTGTTATTGATGTTATTTTGGTGATTTTATATTTTATATATATATATATATATATCTTTTTAAATCAGAAAGTTACTTGAAAAGATTATACTTCTCTTTTTATTTTATTTTATTTTAACATGGTTATAATCTATCTTCCTGTAGGGGTGGATGATGTCAGAAGCACATCTTAATCCTGGCCGAGCTCGTCTTATCAAGTGATTAATTTGGACAATATGCTACTTAATTTCCTGCAAAGGCTTGAACATATAAAGTATGGACAGCTTTAATACTTGTTACAAACATACAAACAGAAGATGCAAAAGAGGGGTTAAAAGGGCTTGTCACCACAATATCATATCACTGGGACCGTGGGAACCATTTGTCTCATTACGCCTGTGGGATCTAGGTCGAGCTTTGCTCGGTGGAACAAAGACTTAAAATGAAGATGACATGGTGTAGTTTATAAGCTGTAGAAATGAGTGGTAAGTAGATGATGGATTAATGCACAGGGGACGACATTGTAGAGTTCTCTTCTCTCTGTAGAGTTTGCCCTGAGTTTTGCTTTCTTAGTTATAAGTGTTTTTTTGTTCCCTTTGTTTAATTTTTTTCACGTTTGGCCTTGTCAATATATGTATGGTGCAGGTGCAGAAGAAAGAAACCCATGAAATCCTTGTATAAATATAAATGAATGAATTTTTCGTTTGCCCATTACTGCAGAGTTGATAATAATAGCCACTTTTTTTCATTGAACGACAGTCACTGTTATTTTTCTTTCTGGGGTTGTAGAATTATGTGAAAACTGGACTTCTCTGTGCTTTCTTTTCTCTTCCTTCTCAGGAAACATGTCATCCACTCAATTCAATTGTGTTTTGTTTTGCCATGTAAATTGTAATGAAGAAGCATTTTATTCCGTTAATCTAATTCTAATTCTAGTTCTAAAATGAGGAAAGGAAGGAAGAGGAGGACATCCTCTTTGTTGATTTGAGTCACATCGCTGTCTGCCACTGCCACTGCCTCTCTCTCTCTCTCTCTGACATGTTGCATGTGTGTATGTTTGAGCAGCATCGTCTCGTCTTGTAAATAACAGCATTCTATTATTATTTATGAGTGAGTTCCTCTTTCTTCGCTGCTAAATAAACTTTTCAATATGCACTCTAAAGTTACTCTTACTCGCCAGGTAAAAGCAAAAAACAAAAGATTCTGTGGCTTTTGTTTTTTACCTGCAAATTTGCAATGTGTTTGCCATACATATTTGCAATACGTGTTAGTTTTTCTCTTGAATTCGTTCCATGTAGTAGTTTTGAAGATGCATTTCCAGTGCGCGGCCAGCTATTAAATATGGCTCACAAGATCATGGGGCTCTTAAATGTAGAGTTGTAAAATTGCGTTCTGTTTAATAAGTTTTTTTCATGTTTGTTTTCACGGCATCTCCACAAGTGCATACATTGGTTTAACTCAAAACTCGCTAACATAAAGCATCTTCAAGGGAGATGTTAAATTTAACGCGACACTTTTAGCATATATAAAAAATAGCTGAGACTCACTTTAACCGAAAATGTTAAATCCTATGTGGAATAACATTTATCTATCTTCTTGTTATTTTTAGTTGTTTGACATTATGATGTTATTTTATTATTATTTTTCAATTAATATGCATATATTGTAGTAAATCAATAAACAATATGTAATAAAATAATATTTTAATTTGACATATTGGGTGGAATATAAAATTCTATTATATGTCAAATTGCCACATAAGCCATCAAATTCAAATTTAATGTTTGATATTTGACATCTCCTTTATACAATTAGGAACGGTCATACGTTCAGGCTAATATGGGGACTCGATTTTTTTATAGCACAATATTAATACTCAGCCCACTTAAGCACACCCCCACACATCCCCATCCTAGTGATCCCAACCACAGAAAATCTTTTTTTTTTTCCTTTCGCAACCCCATAAGTCTGGCAGTAAGTAAAACAAAAACTAACCCCACATTAATACTCAACCCTATTCAAAAAAACACATCCTTTACCTTTTCTAGCGTACAGAAACAGAAACGCCAATTGATATAAGTCAAAATTGTTTAGTCATTTGATTATCTACATTTTAATTTTGGTTTTATCTAACGAATGTTTTTTTGTTGTTGATACATTTTAGATAACCAAACAACTCAAACTTCAACACTTTTTTTTTTTTTTTTGTAACGATAACCTAAAATATGAACAATTGCGATCATTAAATGCATTGTTGGATATCATTACTAATGTAATACATCCTTAACGTAGAAAACTTCAAGGACCGTTTGGTTCAAGTTTTATGAGCTTGGGATGGGTTTGAAATTGCATTCTCATGTTTGGAAGGTGTAATCTTGGGAATACAATTATGGACTCATGGGTATGGACTTCTCATGTATGGGGAAGTTCATACCCTTGACTGAACTTGTTGGATATCATAACTGTCTCAATCTTTGTTTTTTTTTTTTTTTAATTCTAGCGACAAACTCCTATGTTCTTTTCATTACAGTATTTCTGAACAAGTTCCTAGATAACAAGACCAAGGGTTTTCTTGTTGATGATAGTGACGACCGTTTTCGAATTGAGAGAGATATTGAGAGAGATCAAGAATTCTCACTATTTCTTAGATTCATGGACCAAATTCAATTCAGTGGGATCTTTTATTCACATTTTTTTCCATCAAGAACGTTTTATAAAACTCTTGCAAACGTATGATCATTACGCTTCAAGCGGGTTATTCTATTCCACCTCTTAGAAAGAAAAGAACTTCTTCAACAATTTCTGATCTCTAGTGGACCTCGGGGGGAGGGGGTGGTGTGGGGGCGGGGAACATTTAATGCAAGTTTTTGGGACAAATCTACCCTTGTTATAATTTGCATTACAATGTTTGGTAAGCATTTAATGTAATTTTTTTAAGGGTATTGTTGGAAAACTAAACAATTTGTCATTCCTAATAATGCACAAACCAAACATGGAAATGAGAGAAAATGGTCTTTCTTGGTCCTTATTATTTCCCAACATTCCTAAATATAAAAATAAATATTTTTCATTCCCATCTCATAGAATTAAACATAGGAAGTTCATTCCCGAGAAGTTTAATCGCTAACCAAACCGGCCCTCAATGTTCCACAATAGTAGAAGGCATAAGTAGGACTGAGAGATGCATATGCGTAATGAAAGAAGGTAAGAGATGCATCATGCATGTGAAAAAAGCAGAGAGCACTTAATAATAGTTTGGCAGGTGGTCCGATGTGGTCAGATATGATCAGAGGTGTCTAAAACTTTAAAACTATACGTGATGCATGTGATGTGGAACAGAACATGTATAAATTTTCCATATACAACTTACAATTTCACAAGCTGTTTATTTTTTAATTCATGTTATGTACTGTTGTTTGTAATTTTGTGTGCGACGGAGGGGAGAGGGGAGAGGGGAGAGGGGGAGAGGGGAGAGGG